GTGCTGAATCCTTCTGAATTTGGCCAACACGTAATGAAGTCCATGGTTATGCTGTCCCATGGCTTTGCCGCAACTGGCAGCGGCTCCAGTAAACCCCCTGGAAGCTTGGATTCCACCTTGTCTTGTTGACAAACTAGACAAGTGCGTACGTATACCTAGATGTCGTCCCGCATCTGAGGCCAATAATAAGAAGACTCAATCAGGGCCAATGTGCGTTTTTGCCCTGGATGACTGCCCAGGCAGAGTCATGACCTTCTTTCAGCAGAGTATGCCTGAGATTTGCCCATTTTGGCAGGTATACTCTTTTGCCAGTGGTGTACAAGAGACCATCTTCTTCCCAAAATCTCTGAGTTTTGCCTTGACTGGCCAAGGCAAGAAGTTGTTTCGCCACGGGGTCATGTTGCATGCCTTCTTTGATGGTCTTGATGATGCCACTGTTTGCTGAGCTAACAATGGTTTCTAGTAATGTCTTGCGACTCAAAGCATCGGCAACTACGTTAGCTTTCCCTGGTTTGTATTCCAGGGTGTAGTCGAATTCGGCCAGAAAATCTTGCCAACAGGCCTGTTTGGCAGATAGCTTCTTCTGTGTTTGGAAGTATCTTGTTGCAACGTTATCAGTCTTTACAACAAAATGTGCCCCCAACAAGTAATGACGCCAAGTCCTTAGGCAGTGGACTACAACCGTCATTTCTTTCTCTTGGCCCGTGTAACGCCTCTCGGCGTCATTTAGCTTTCGACTCTCAAAGGCTATAGGATGGTCCACTTGCATAAGTACGACTCCTATAGCAAAGTCAGACGCATCAGTCTGGACTTTAAAAACTTTCAAGAAATCAGGCACGGCCAATACGGGTTCCTTGGTGATTGCTGCTTTGAGTTTCTCAAATGCCTTCTGGAAGATGTCGCTCCATTCCCACTCTCTGTATTTTTTTAGCAAGTCAGTGAGGGGGGATGCAATAGCCAAGTAACCGAAGATGAATCTCCGATAATAGTTGGCTAAGCCGAGAAAGGACCGAAGTTCCGGTACCTTTGTTGGAGGTTCCCAATCCTGGATAGCTTCCACCTTGTCCCTATCCATCCGGATTTCCCCATGGCTGATTGTATGCCCGAGGAACTGTACTATGGGCTGTGCAAAGCTGCATTTCTCACGTTTTACGCACAGATCATTTTCCCTTAGTACCTTGAATACCTTGCGAAGGTGCTCCGCATAGTCTTCCATATTGCTGCTGTAAACCACAATATCATCTAAATAGATGACAACAAATTGATCCAAGAAAGGATGGAATAATTTGTTCATCAAAGTGCAGAAGGTTGCAGGAGCATTGTTCAAACCGAATGGCATTACCAACCATTCAAAAGACCCATAGCGTGTAACACAAGTTGTCTTGGGCTCGTCTCTGTCGGCAATCCGCACTTGATAGTAACCTTTCCTTAAATCCATCTTGGTGAACACCTTGTCCTGCCCAAAGTGGTCAAATAAATCAGCAATGAGAGGGATAGGGTACTTATTCTTCACAGTGACCTTGTTAAGGGCCCAATAATCAATACATAAGTGCATGGTACCCTCATTCTTCTTCTGAAATAAGACAGGAGCTCCGTAAGGTGCCTTGGATGGTCGTATGTGGCCAGCCTCTAGCAACTCCTTGAGTTGCTTCCTCAATTCCTCTAATTCCGGGGGCGCCATGCAATAAGGCGACATGGCAGGTGGCTTTTCCCCTAGAACTAGCTCGATCTGATGATCAAATTCCCTTCGTGGTGGCAATTGTTTGGGAATTCTTCCGGCATCACGTCCTTATTATCATCAAGGACTTGCTCAATGCAGGGAGGCAATGCTACTGCCTCAAGGTAATTCTCAACGATTCCCGTCAAGGTTGCAAGAAATGTTGGTTCCCCTTTCTTGAAACTTTTCACAAGTTGCATCGCTAACAGATGCATCCCATTTTGTGGTACCCGAACAAGGGGCACAATACACGAGCCTCCGGGATTGCTTATGTGAAGCTGGTTGATACGTGGCGCAATAAGTGCATTGATCTCGTACCAAAAGTCCAATCCTAGTATGATGTCAAAGACGTCCATGGGAGCAACGGTGAAGTCCGTCAATCCCTTCCAACCTCCTAAAGCAATATGTACGTTAGGAGCAAAGCCATGAATGGTAATGGGAAGGTCATTGACGGTCTTCATCAGCGTGTCGCTGGATATAAAGACAAGTCCAAGCTCCCTAGATCGTTACTCTGTCATAAAATTATGCGTCGTACCTGTGTCCACCATGATGCGCACGTCTTTGCTGTTTAACTTGGCATCGACAAATAATGATTCACGGGGCCTCACATGAGGCGGTTGGGCAGCAACAACGGCAATGGTCATATGGTTTATCAAGGCTATATGATTGAACAAGCCTACGACCTTGTTCTTCCCTTGTCCTGCACCATCAGCTGATGCTCTTCACTCCTCGGGTTGCCTGTCAGTAGGCGCAGCAGTTTGTCCTTGCTGCTGGTAGGCTGCAACAATTGCTCCTAATTTGTTCAGCGTAGGGCAATTTCGAGCAGCATGAGAAGGGTCTCCGCAAAGATAGCAAACATCTCGCTGAGCAGCCTTTTGTGCGCCTTTTTTCCTCTTCTCATCATAATCCTTGCGGTAATTAGAAGAGTGGTTGCCTCTGTTATCGTTGTTCCGATTGGGAACAAATTTGCCTTTGCCTTGGTTGGTGTCCATCTTTGGAGCAGCAGCAACTTGGCTCCGGTTGTTATTTCCCTTGGACACTCCTATTTGGAAATTTGACAATGATTCGGCTATTACAATAGCCTCATCGACGTTGTCGATCTGTTGCCTTTGTAATTCTTGTTTGGCCCAATACTGTAAGCCATCCAAGAAATGGAACAATAGATCCTCACTGGTCAAGTTGGGGATCTGAAGGGTGAGTTTTCCTTTACGTACTCACGGATGGAAGATGTTTGCCTAAGCTCCCTCAACTGGCGGCGAGCCTCGTGCACAACGTTTTGAGGATAAAACTGTCATTTTAGCTCCTCTTTGAACTGCTTCCATGTGTCGATGGAGAACGTTCCTTTCTCCATATCGTCCTTCTTTCTGTGCCACCAAAGTATGGCGGTTTCTACTAAGTACATGGCTGTCGTTCAGATTTTGGCAGCATCGCTGGTTATGCTTACATGTTCGAAATAAGCATCCAGCTGCCACAAGAAGTTTTCCACATCTTGAGCGCTTCTTTCACCCCGAAACTCTTTGGGTTTAGGAGCCTCAATACGTGTTTCTCGGATAGTGATGGGACCTCCTCCACTGGTTCCTGTTGTCTCTTCTAAACGCAGTTTTAAAATTTTAACTTCTGCCTGTAAGGCAGACAAAGCCTCAGTGAGCTTGAGTTCAAGGTTGGTTAGCCCTTTATTTTTGCTCCTGAACTCTCCCTTTGACTTCTCCAAGTCCATCAAGGGAAACTGACTCAAGGGAACATATATTATTTTTGGTAGCGGCAATACGACGGTAAAAGGTCGACAGACCCTTTTCTACCATGTCAACTCTCTCATCGAAAGTTCTGGTGTCGGCCGTTTCGGGTTCCACGTAGGGTAGCAGCTCGCTAATAGGTGGAGATGCGTCTCTGGCCCTACTTTTGTCACGCTTTCAACCCATACCTCTCTGCGGTTCTGGATTCTCTTCGATCTGGTTTTCGTCTATGTTGCGATGTGAGTTCTTAGCCATACAAGAACCTAGGCTCTGGTACCAATTGTCGCGGAACCGTTTTTCCGAGGGTTCGGCGAGGGCAGCGAAGTTAGCCTGACTGATACTTAGCTTTAACACTTAGACAATAAATAGCACAATCGTGATAAAGCAATGGCAATCACACGAAACAAGCAAGAAAGCTATGAAAGAAAGAGACTCGGATTTGGGAGGCAAGTGCCAATTTTCTTTTGTATTATGCAATATCTTATGCTTACAAAGAATGATTATAAAGCCTATTTATAGAAACTAAAATGGCTATACAAAGAGGGTGGTTGGCAGGACTGGTAAGGCTATTCCAGCAGCTTGGTGCATTCCAGCATGGAAAGCTGCCTGGTGCATTCCAGCATGGAAAGCTGCCTGGTGCATTCCAGCATGGAAAGCTGGAAATGCAGACTTAGTGGATCCTACTGTCAACCATGGCCCAGAAGGTCAAAGATGCCTTCCCACTTTCGACTGCTTGTCCCTTGGTCTACTGACTTTGTGCCAAAGGTGCCTTCTAATGGCATCTCATGATTTCTGTTTGGCCCCAAGTGTTTTTCCACTAATGGCAGTCCGAGATTTAGGCTCGGACAAGCCATGTCGTCGCTGGAATTGCGAAAAATTAATAGGTGTGACGGCGGGGCGATGCACTATTTTTGTTGAGGAGTGTTGGGTTGTTGCCCAGTTGCAAGCTCAAAGGGACTCTTCCCGGTCGCCTCGCTGCGTTGCAAATTATAAGAGAATTGGGCTATATATAGTAGCGTAGCCCAGTCTCTTTGATTGGCGCTGACATAATGCCTCAGATAGCATTCAAGCAAGGCATTAATCCTTTTTGTTTGTCCATCTGTTTGCGGATGAAAACTTGTTGAGAAGTGAAGTTGAGTTCCCAACAAGCTGAACAATTCTTTCCAGAATGCGCCGGTGAATCGAGGATCTTGATCACTTATGATATGCTTAGGCACACCCCAATATTTTACGATGTCCCTCAAGAATATACGTGCTGCCTCTTTAGTTTTGCAACCGGCAGTGGTGGCCGAAAATGTTGCATACTTGGTGAATCTATCGACAACCACCATAATGGTGTCAAATCCTTCTGAATTTGGCAAACACGTAATGAAGTCCATGGTTATGTTGTCCCATGAATTTGCCGCAACTAGCAGCGGCTCCAGTAAACCCCCAGGAAGCTTGGATTCCACCTTGTCTTGTTGACAAACTAGACAGGTGCGTACGTACATATCGATGTCACACCTATTAATAGATTTGACCGCTTGGGGCAGGCCAAGGTGTTCACCAAGATGGATTTGAGGAAAAGTTACTATCAAGTGCGGATTGCCGACAGAGACGAGCCCAAGACAACTTGTGTTACACGCTATGGGGATTTTGAATGGTTGGTAATGCCATTCGGTTTGACCAACGCTCCTGCAACCTTATGCACTTTGATGAACAAATTATTCCATCCTTTCTTGGATCAATTCGTTGTAATCTATTTAGATGATATTGTGGTTTACAGCAGCAATATGGAAGACCATGCGGAGCACCTTCGCAAGGTATTCAAGGTACTAAGGAAAAATGATATGTGCGTGAAACGTGAGAAATGCAGCTTCGCACAGCCCATAGTACAGTTCCTCGGGCATATAATCAGCCATGGGGAAATCCGGATGGATAGGGACAAGGTGGAAGCTATCCAAGACTGGGAAGCTCCAACAAAGGTATATATATNGTAGAAAAAAAAAGGCATGATTTTTGTACAAAGAATTATTGACTTTCCATTCAAATTGCTTATGTTTGGAGATTAATAATTAATATTTCTATTTTAATGGAACTGTGTGCTACAAATATAAATATTTTTCTGCCACAACTGTAATATTGGATTTCATGCTACGAATTTGTTATATTTCTTTTAAATTGTGACAATTATGTAAAGTTCTCAATGAAATATCTGACTGCACTCTTGAAAAGTGTCCACCACTATTTATATTTACGCCAGAATAAATAAACATAAAATGAAACAAATTTGTCGGACTTGCATAAATGGGCTTTCCATAGCTTCTACCATTGGGCCAAATTGAAGTTCAACTCCAACATCTACATGACTAGTTATGGGACCCGAGCCCAACGTAAATGAAGAAGACTTATTAGCACTTTATTTCTAAAACCATATATATAATTGCATTTAAGAACTGCAAACTATAAGCCCCTTTAGCAAATTTCATAAAACAATTTATACCCCTCAAGTTTGCTTTAAATATCAAACTTGCTTTCAATTTCTCTTCTATGTAATTCCTTTTTACATTATAATTTTGGTCGTTTTAACTTCACGTTCAAAAATAAGCATTTTTATTTCTACTAAATATTCAACTTAAGTATTTGTCGGAAATAAAAAATGCCCACTTTTGATAAAATTTAAAGGAAAAAATTGCTCATGGTATATTTTGTGGGAGTAGTTTACTCCCACCCTTAAACATAAAGGAACCTATTTCCTCCAACCGTGAGTGGGAGTTCCATTTTTTCGTTACTGTAATACTGTTATTGCACAGTTTCAACTACATTTGAAAGACCGGTAATTCCAACGTTGTTGGTTGTTTCCGTACCCCCGTTTTCAAACAGACGCAATTCGCCTCCTAAATATTTTCGAAGCTATTTATCAAAGAGGAGATACGTCTTATTTCTTTAATTTCGAATGTTGCCAATAAACCCTAGTTCCATTTTCACTCCGACGAGGTTTACCTGTTCCGCATTCCTCTCTCCTCATCCTAAGACCACCATATTCATTCGTTGCCACGCCGCCGCTGACCCACCGGCCGGCCCGTCGTCGTCCTCATTCAACTTCGTTTCCACCGCCGATGCCGCTTCCTCCCCCAGCGCCGGCAGAATTTCCCATAACTCCGACGGCACGGCTCCGGTGGAGAAGCGAAGTTCGAGCAAAAACATGAAAATCAATGGTTGGGAAAGACCTTGGTCGCGTAATAGAGAGAGCTACTTGGCGGATGATGGGGAACCTCTTCCTCTTCCTATGACTTATCCTAACACTTCTCCTGTTTCGCCTGAGGAAATTGACCGTCGCCTTCGTTGTGATCCCCAAATTGAGGTCTTCATTTCGCTTTGCTCTATTATTTGTTTATATCTTTATTATATTATTCTCATTTTAGATTAATGAGAAGAAATCAAATAGCTTGCCACTACGGGGATTTGAACCTGGTCTCACATGATCCATTCCAGTTTCATTGGCCACTAAGCCACGCCTTTTGGATGTGACGTAACAATAGCAAACTATAATAAATACTAGACTCAAGCTAGTTTGAGATTAAGGCGAAATTGATTGATAGATCAATTTTCCTTCTTCAAATATCGTCAAGTTCATTGGAGCAATACACACATCCATGGCATTTCAACATTTCATGGCGTGTTTATTCTACAATTTGTTCTCTTCTCTATTTTGCACTATCTCTGAAGATTCATGTAGGGAACAATAGAAGAAAAAGATCTATATAGGCGATATATATTAGTCGAGAATATGTCTTAGACAAAGGAATCACAAAATCAACGGATTCCTTCTTAAACTTATCGGTCTAAGAAAAGAAGATTTAATAGGAAAATCCAGTTTCCTTTTTCCTATAAAGGTTTAATTAAGAATTCCAGGTGGTCCAATGGATGGATTAAGCCATTGATCATATCATAGGTCAAGGATGGAATGAAGAACTAACGTTGTTATTTATTGTAGGTTCTATTGCTTTCTAGGAGCAGGTTAGCCTTTCAAAGATTTATACTTTTAGAAAATATACAAAACTTCTAATACTTTTTATTTGTATTTGCCTGGTATTGACATGAGATGAGTTTAAATGGGGTAACGTTGTCAGTGAAGATTCATATAGCCGACCCCAACTTGTTTAGGGCACAATTGTTGTTGTATGTATAAAAGGGACCTTTTGGAGCATTAATGCTTGTGCAGTGACTAAAAGACAACATCTTCAAGGTCAGAATTTTGTTTAGTATCTCGTGGCACAAAGTTATTGGTAAAGGTATGGGCCAAGATTGGTGAATATCCTGTCAAATGAAAATCTCTTTCACCACTAGATTACTAATAATATTGGTAGGAACCAGAATAGTATTGATCACCACAGTGTAATATCTTTGTTCAGCATAAAAGATGTTTACAAGAGTGTTAAAGTTATCCTTTGGTCGAGGTTTGTTGTTTTTCCTTTGGTCATGCTTATGTTTTGATGAAAACCCTTTGGTCATTCTTGTTACCTTAGGATTGCAAGGAAGTCGTCTATGAGTGGACTGGAAAATGTCGGAGTTGCCAAGGAACAGGATTTGTTAGTTACTATAACAAACGAGGGAAGGAGACCATCTGTAAATGCATACCTTGCCAAGGAATCGGTACAAGTACTTTACTTTTATTTCTTCTATGAATTATATTTTTAATGACACTATTTGCTTTCGCTGTTCTGCTCTACTTTGCGAGTATGGACTGCATACTGATGCATTCAAGGCTTCGATGTATATAGTATCATGCAGTAGGTCATTTATTCTTGTGTGGGACTAATTGTGAATAAGTCCCTGAAGATTAATTACACGTCAATAAGAAAGGGATGCATTAAAAGGTGCTAACTTAAGGTGCCTGAATGTGCTTACTACTTCAGTTTTGTGAGTCATTATGATGTTGTTGAATCAACAAGATGGTGCTGAAGAAAACTGTATGTGTTAGCCTTCTCATAACCCTACCCAAATTATCTATATAAGCAGCTATTATTTCTTTGCACCAAAAGTACAAATAAAGCAGAGAGGAATTCTTCAATTCCTTAAAGTGCAAACTTATTAATCTTTGCTTTTTCACTGGAGATGTTTTCTGTGGAAAAAAAACAGAGTGAAAAACTCTGCAGAAGCATGCTAAATTAACTTCGAAGAGCTCAGTCTTCTGGTGACATTCTCTTGGATATAGTCACTTTCTCATATTTGTTCTAAAACAGAAAGAGAGAGAGAAGGAAAAGATAGGAAGTTCTAAAAGGAGCTTATGGACTAAGTGATTATGAAGGAGTAGGAAGGCCATTGATGGGAATCATCAAAATCTTTTTTGGCGTAATATACTATTCCGGTTGACTATGGTATATTCATAGTGTTTGACTATTGTAGATGTTGATGTATGTATTGTGATTTTGGCACCACTCTCTTTCGTAGTATTTTTAGGATAGATTATGTATAAACAATTAAGAAGCGGAGCACCAAGGATGAGGAGCAAATGTGCATTGTTAACAAAAATAAAAATATTCTTTAGCTATGTTTTCTAGGAATCGCATTACTCTCCTATCCTATACGTGCACACTTCCAATAATGAAAGCGACTTTAGGGACTGTAGACCCTTTTCATTGTTTTGATCCTTTGCTTCTATTCATTATGTGCTTAGCTCAGTACACATTGATAGAAATTTTACAGCTTCTGAGACAAGGTACCTTCATGTTATTTTAGGTTTATTTTGTCCCCATTTAGCACCTTAGTCATTATAGTGTTCACCTAAACTTTGATATGGAGGTTTACATGAGTCGGGACCAAAACTTGTCTCTTTGTACAGATAAATTTTATGAACAAGAAGTGCATTTTCTTTGATACGAGTAGAAAAATTAAACAAAGAAGTTTCTACTTTCTTTTTCCATTCTTTGCCTCTTTTGCGTTAGTCAAGCTTACATGAGGAAAGAGCAAGGCTGAAGTGGCCGATGACTTCCATAATTTGCAACAAGAGTAATAAGGAAACTACATATTCTCATAATGAGAACTGGTGATCAGCAAAGAAATTTCATTTTGAGATTGTGGAGCAATCTGCTTTTTAATACAAAATCTTTGTGACTGCAGGTTATGTGCAGAAGATAACAGCACGAAAGGATATCGATGTGATGGAGGACTTGGATAATGGGAAACCACCTTGGCAGAAGTAAATGATCATCTAATACACATTTTTGTCTAACCTTAGCAGACATTGACGATAACTTTGAAGAGGCTTATTTATTACGGAATCGTAGTATTCTTTAAGGTGTAAAGACAGTTGCCTGACGACATATTTTCTCAGAGTCAAATAAAAGGGAGATACCATACTACATTCATAATGCAAGTAAGAAGTTCTTGGAGATCAAGGCGGGCGTTCTGTGAAGAATGATGATTATATTCTTGGTCCCATAAGTAAATGTTATTAGTTTACTTCTTCCCAACTCTAGGTGGTTAATAAATCATTGGTTATGAGATCAGGTCTCTGTTAATGTCATGCCCCTTCTATTCATTGCCTGACCTTTCGACTGTATTCTAATGTATCAGTCTTCTTTCCAGTTGGTTGTTCATATAGTAAAAGAATATCTTCTGAAACAGTCTTGACCCTCTAGATGTGTATAATCTTTAACAGATCGACTAAGTCTCAAACCCAAATCAGTTCGGATGAGTTATATGAATTCCTCTCTGCTTTATCCAAGTTCATATCATCCCAATACCTGTATATTTTTTATTGCATAACATAAAAGTTGCTATCTAAAATTAGTTCAGATGAGTTTTTTTGGGGTTGGNCATGACATGGCGTGGCTTCAGGCAGGTGTGAAGATCGAGCATTATGGTTGTAGGTTAGGAGGTAGTTGAACATTTTTTTACATTCCGGGCGTGAGGATTGACTGATAGGGTTTGTCTTAGATTGCTAGTGGTTAATGTTGTGTTCACATTATTCTCCCGTTTTTCTTTACTGATTATTGTTATTGCGTTTCAACTATTTTCTGGTTCTTATAATGCTGTTATTATTTCTATGATTTTTGTTGATGATACTCATATATTGTCTTTTTCGTCTTTTTCGTTTTCTTGAGACGAGGGTCTATCGGAAACAACCTCTCTATTCCATCGGGGTAGGGGTAAGGTCTGCATACACAGTTACACGCTACCCTCCTCAAATCCCTTACTTGCGGGATTTTACTGGATTGTTGTTGTTGTTGAGTCGCAATAAAATAAGAAAGTGAGCTAGGGATACATTGCTTTTTGTAATTTCATCGTCATTATGATTGATTTTTATTTTTCCATTCATGAGGGGTAAAACTTTAGTGCTTAAGGATTCCATTACTGGTACAAAAGTCAATTGACTACTCGAAAAGAAAAAACAAAAGAGGCACTATTTCATAGAAATAAATAACAAGTAGAGAGTATTTCTTAATCAAGATTTTTATCTTGACGGAAGCATGTAGAATCCTATTTTCCCCTTAAATTCTCTTTAAGTTGGCTACAAAAGATCCATCTTTCTTGCGATAGAAATTGAAGTACCGAAATTGCCAATCTTACATGAAACTAAACTGTAAAGAAATAACATGTACATACACCTACATAAGTAAAAAGAAATGCAGGAAATATCAGTACTCTCTTCACATAAAGTAGAAATAACCGACTAAAAGTACAGCACAATTTTAGACTCTTAGGCTCTTTCATGCATTTAATTAGAAATTGTAATATCATGTATATCTTCCATTGTTAAATTGCACTTAAATGCTTACTTGATGTCGTTATTACATGCTTTTTCTTTTATTGTCAAACATGCTTTTATATGCCTTAATTGATGTTATTATCTCTCTTATTGTCATGTGCCTTTTTAATTGTTGAGTTATTCTCGTTTAAAGTTATTATTCCATGATGTATCTTCGTGTGAAATTATTCTCATGCATTTAGACGTAATTGCTATTTCATACTAACTTTTTCGTTATTAAACTTATGTTTTACAATTGAATTGGAAGTTGTCTTTTCGTGGGAACACCTTCATTTAGAGCTATTAAAGTTGAAGTTAAGAAAGTTATTATCACATCGAGGTTGAAGTTGTTGCTTATTGAGATATATTTCCTTATTGAGTAATTCTTACCCATTTTGTTATCATAGAGGTTCTTGTACATATCGTGGTTGAGCCATGGGCTATATGTTGTGGTAATATTGGTATTGTGATTCTGGCAAGTTGTGGCATATGGACACGTGTGATGCGAGAAGTTATTGTGTTGAAATGTTGATGCACATGCGGCGTTATGCATGGTCCTTGAAGTTGTTGTTCTCATTCCAGCATCCAACACCTCTACGTACTTATCCATCTCTCTATATCAACTTTGATTTTTTACAAACTTTACGTTGAGGGAAAAGAAAGGAAAGGAAAAAATAATGAAAAAGAAGATGAAAGATCAAACAAAACTAAATCTGCTAAAAAATGTCAGGCTATATAAATGGAGAGCAAGTGTTGAGGGAAATGGAAAAATCCCTTCTTGCCTTTATATAGTTCTATACTGGTTGGTATTCTTTGGGCTTCCTTTCATGCGTTTATAGTCTTTAGTACATTTAATTTTATTCAATACATGGAGAGGAAGAGGGAAATGAAAATCCATTCTTGCCTTTATATGATTTTATCCTAGTTGGCGTTTGGTCTTCCCTTCCATACGTTCATAGTCTTTACTCTTTAGCCTATATTAAATTTTATTGAATACAAACTTTTCAAAATTTTCAGATTTTTATGAAGAGGTCGACTAACACAAATTTTATTATTGTTTGAAGGGTATTTTAGTCTCTTAGTATTATAAGGTTAGTTTGGTCTTTTAATTTTTACTTTGGGGATTCACACTTATAATATAGTATGATGATTACAATTAAACCGTTACGGACTCATTTTGGTGAAAGTATATCCTGAAGAGTCCAAAATATTTTACATCCTCTGTGTAGTTTGCAGGCTATTACACAGAGGGAGGTTTACCCAGTGCGCACAAAGTGCTCACCACAGAGTGCTCACCCGAATGGCAGAGGTTGTAGCGGCTGCGAGTTTCTCCTCTTATCAAAAAAAAAAAAAAAAAAAAAAAAAAAAAAAAAAAGAGTCCAAAACATAGTTACTTGTTTACAGCAAAAAGGGTTGGTTGGGGTATTGAAACAAAAGAGCACCTCTTGAACAGTATAAAATGGTGTATCTAGTATTGCATTCGTATATTGGCATATTTTTGAGCTGCCTTAGGTCCAGGGCGGACCTAGAGCATTGGCTACGGGTTTCCAGGAACCCAGTAATTTTTGCGTAGATCATGTATTTATATTAAAAAATTCATTAAATATTTATAAATATCTAACTGTGAACCCAGATATTATTACATATTAATTTGAATTTACGGTAGAAAACCATAAACTTCAAATCCCGGATCCGCCGCTGCTTAGGTCATCATCTACCATATTGTTTACTTGATCTGACTTTGCCTAACGTGCTACACAACAGTTAACATATACTCCTAACAAGATTGAGCTTTCTTTAATTAGGAGAATATAAAAGATAAAAGTTTGTTCACTAGATGGGAGACTATAAGAGACACATTGCCCATATTTCAAGGCGGGGGCGGATGCACCGTATCAGGTTTATCTATCTAAATCTAGTATCTTGGATGTGTAACATAAATTAGATGTAAATATTCACTAAAATTACAAAAAGAAGTATAGATAAATTCATAATTTTAAAAATATATTTTGTTCAATACTAAAAACTTCATAAGTTAAATCCAATAAAATTTAAATCTTAAATCCGCCTCAACTCCAAAAAGCTCTGGTAAATTAATATAGATGAATTTTGTCCATTATCCTCCTGAGTAGACTCCTCTCCAAAAGCTTTCATACATTATTTTTATCTAAAAAATCAGTCACCTGTTGAGCACCCATTTAGAGATTCCCAATTTTGGAAGAACATAGACCATGTGCTGGTCAAAGTTGCCAATCCATGAAAAGTGGAATCTTTTTCAACTTTTATCATATAATTAGTCAATCAAATACTTTGACCAGTCTTACTCTTTAATTTAAAGCAAGAAACATGTGCTTTGGAAGTTGCCAGTTAAGCCTTGATATAGATCCAGCTTTAAAGTAGCGTTAACTACCGAGAATAATTTGGCAAAAAACATCCTTGAACTATAGTCCAAACATATATTATATCCTTGTGATGCTTTAGTGAATAAAAAATATTCTTTTACTATTTAATCTATTGCAAAAATTATTCTTCCGTTAGTTTTTGTCAAAAAAAAACAAACAGCCAAGCAAAAAAGCATACCAAGCACATGAGTTTCCTCCTAAAATTTTCAAGAAGACCCCTCTTGGCTAATCTTCTTCCACCTTCATAAAAAGTAGTCTTGCCCAAGAGTATCATTTGTTTCTTCTAACAAGTGCACTAACACCACTAATTCTTTATTTTTGTTAAGATGAAGAGTGAGACGATGCAATAAAGTATTTATCAATTAACTTTTATCTTTGTTAATACTTAAAACCAGTAAAAAACTAGCAAATGATGTCTTTATACCCTTTACTACTTGATACCTTTAGACCATCACTCTAGCACCAGCAAAAGGCAATAATGAGGGGGGGGGG